TGCCTTCATTGCATCCCATAAGTTCTGGTATGTTGCACTGACATTTTCATTTAAATGTAGATACTGTTTAATTTCTTCTTTAATTTCCTCTGTGCCCATTGGTTGATCAGAAGAGTGTTGTTTAATTTCCATCTGTTTATGTAGTTTTTGTGGTTTCTTTTGCTGTTGATTTCCAATTTCATTTCATTTTGGTCAGATAATATGCATGGGATTTTCAATTTCTTTGCGTTTATTTAAGCATATTCTATGGGCTAGCATGTAGTCTATTTGGAGAATATCCCATGTGCAGCTGAGAAGAATGTGTATCCATGTAGTCTGATGTTGTAGGGTGGAACACTCTGTAGACATCTACTAATTTGTTCACACATTCATTTTAATTCTAATATTTCTGTGTTGATTTTTATTTTGTCTAGTTGATCTGACTTTGAGAGTGGAATATTAAGGTCTCCCATTAAAACTGCATTAATGCTTATTTAATTTTTCATGTTTATTAAGATTTATTTTTTGTAGTTGGGTGCACCAGCATTTAGTGCACATATACTTATGATTGTTCTCTTCTTGAAGATCTATTTTTTGGTCTGTGTCTACTCTAGTATCTTTCAATTTGAGCATCACTCCTTTTTGTACCTGAGACACTATTTTTTCTATAACTGTTTCCATTTTTCTTCACTTCTGTTGTTGTCATTTAGAAAGTTCCAGTGGTTGACTTTCAATTTCCTCTAACTTATGCTCCAGGCTTGCCCTATGTGGGCTGAGGGTCTGAGGTTGCATTTTGCTTCTGTGTCTTGTCATTTTCTATTTTTTATTTTATTTTGCTTTTTGTGTTGATGCTTATTAATTCCTTATGGTAGCAAGATTGATCACTAATATTGAGGCTTACCTAGGAGATGTCTATTCTTTAGGAATATCTTCTAGATATAGGTGGTTCTTTATGACTATCCCAAGAGCCTATTTTCTCAGTTTGTTAAGGAGGAAAAGTTGTTATTTGAATCCACACTCAGTTTTTTGGTACTGGACTATGGTGATGATTATGACCCCATACAATCACAGTTTTATCATACAAGGAGAAAAACTGATTATAATATGTGTGACATCCTGGCTAAAGTAGTACAGTGGGCAATAACAATAGCATCAAGTATAGCTTAGGTACTTACAAACTGTGGTAACTATTGAACTAATACCTTAAGCTATAAGAGAAAATTCTATGGCTACATACCAAAGTCCAACATATACCAGGTACTTATATGCAATGATTTTTGTCTTTAGTGGACTGATTTTTCCCTATTGTGGGTGGAACAAAGAGGTGTTAAGAGGAGTTAGGGACAAGATAGAGAGATGAATAAGGTCAAATATAGTAGAAGCAAGGCTGGAGGGCAAAGGATGATTATCCAAGTTTTGGGAAACTGGAGGACACAGAAGAAAAACAAAAAGTTAAGGAATATTGAAGTGAATCAGAAACATAAGACACAGTGTTTACTCACATGAAAATATCATAAATTCAAGAGGTAGTTGAGGAAAGAGAGAAAGAATATGAGTAGAAGAAAACAAATAAAAAGGTAGGACACCTAAACAGTTAAAAAAAGAAAGAAGAGAATAAAAGAACAAAAAACTCCCAAAACCAAAACAAAAATAACCACAAAAAGCAAAACAAAACAAAAGAAAGCAAAGCAAAGCAAACTGTGGGACTCGGTGGTCTCTTGGTAGTCCCTGGGAGAAAACAGAGAGGATTTAGAAAATAATGACAAGAGACAGTAGCTGGGGTCAGGTGGAGTTACCTCTTACCTGATGAGCAAGAGGACTGATCTCAACAATAGGGGCATTTATTTTATACACTTGCAAAGTAGTATCATGAGAGATAGTGTTGCTTAGTGACTAAGACTGTAATTGTCCAAGCAGGATACCTTTTTCAATACTGAGGTAGCTTGACTGCCTGAGGCACTCTGGCTCTGTCCCATCCTCACACACATGACTAACACCCAACTCCAGCGGCTCCCAACAGCAAAGCAAAACAAAACAAAGCAAAACCCAACTAGACAGAAAAAGCACAACCAATGAGGCAAAGAAAAATAAGTAGTAAAATTACTCTGATGTTCACAGTTCTGTGGTAGTGTCCAAGTCAGATCCCAGAAATGTGCTGTGTAATCCAGCCAAGTTTGCCATGGGTTTTGGAGCTAATCTTGGCCTCCGGATGTGGGAGGTGGGGCTGGTCTTCTGCTGTTAAGAGTTCTGCAGAGCCCTTTGATAGACAGTGGTGACCCTGCCCACCTCTATTCTGTGTGCCTGTGTGCCAAAGCACAATGCTGTTTCACCTAGCTTACCAGCTCCTGGTTCCTCACTGCTGCTTCAGACTTTTCTGTAACACTGGTCTTGCCTGGGCCTGCATGAGCACCCTCTCCAGGGCCTGAGCTCACTGGTCATGCCTAAGCCTAAGCCTGGCCTGGTCTCACTGGTTGGTTCCACCTGCCAGCATGTGTGTCCATATCCAGGCCTGACCTGATCTCACCTTGATTGTATTTTTTTTTTTTTTTTTTTGGTTTGGTTTTTCTCCGGTACCGGGAACCGAACTCACGACCTTGCGCATGCCAGGCAGGCGCTTTTGCCGCTGAGCTAAATCCCCAGCTGCAGTAGAGTTTGAAAATGCATATTTTGCTCTAGTCTTACTCTTTTTGCTTAGGGTTGCTTTGGTTATTCAGGGGTTTTTGTGCTTCTATATAAATTTTAGAATATATTATTTAATTCTGTAAAAAAAATTATCATAGACATTTTGATAGAGATTGCATTGAACTTGTGCATTGCTTTTGGCAATATGGCCATTTAAACAACATTAAACTGCAAATCAAAGATCACGGGATGTCTTTTTATTTTCTAGAGTCTTATTTTCAATCTGTGTAGTCTGAAATTTGTATTGTAGAGGTCTTTAGGTTGATTTCTAGGTATTTTTAAAACTATTGTGAATGGGATTGGTTTTTAAGATTCCTTTCTTAGCTAGGACATTATTGGTGTATAGAAAACCTATTGATTTTTCCACTGTTGATTTTTTTAATCCTGCCACTTTGCTGAATTTGTTTATAATCTCTGAGTGTCTTTTGATGGAGATTTTAGGATCGTCAAAGAATAAGGTCATAATATCTGCAAACGCTTTGACTTGTTTCTCTCCCCTAATTGAGCAGCTAAAATTTCAGGCACTATACAGTGCAGGAGTAGTGAGACTGCACATGCTTTCCTCATTCTTGATTTGAGCTGAAATTCTTTTAGTTTTCCCCATTGAGAACGATGTCGGCAGTGAGTTTTTGTGTAAGTCCTTTTCAATCTCGAGGTATGATCCTCTTATACTTAGTTTCTTCACTACTTGCATGTCAGTTGTGTTGATCTTGTGATAAATTTTGACCTTGATTCTATTTATGTGGTGTATTATGCTAATTGATTTGGATATGAATCATCTTGCATCTCTGGGATGAAACCAACTTGATCATGGTGTATGATCTTTTTAATGTGTTGTTGAATTCTATTTGCAAATACTTCATTAAGGATTTTTGCTTCTATGTTCATCAAGGATATTGGCCTATAGTTTTGTTTTTTGTTGTGTCATTGTCTAGTTTCAGTATTATTTACATTTTTGTGACCTTAAAGAATTCAGCTGAGATATCACAGTCATGCCCATGGACATGTAGAATTAAAGTGTTAAATCAAAAATTTAAAAAATGCATAAGGAGATAGAAATGTTAACTCCATTGATTTAATCATTGAACAGTGTATCCATGCATAAAATTATCACACTGTACTGCATAAATTCATATAATCAAAACAATATTTTAATAAAAAAGAAAAACAAATTTTTTTTTCCTGGTACCGGGAATTGAACGCACAACCTCACGCTTGCCAGGCAGGCACTGTGCTGCTGAGCTAAGTCCCCAGCCCAAATAATTTCTCTCTCTCTCTTTTTTTTTTTTTTTTGTGGTACCGGGAATTGAACTCACAACCTTATGCTTGCCAGGCAGGCATTTATGCCACTGAGCTATATCCCCAGCCCTGAAAAACAAAATTTTTAAAACAGAAAGGAAGGAACTCAGTTCAAGGTGAGCAGTCTAAATTTTCTGACTATGTTCTCCCTCCTTCCTCATAGGACTTCATAATCCAGAATCTGAAAACAGACTCTTCTTATTATGTGGGACTGTCAGATCCAGAGGGTCAGAGACATTGGCAATGGGTTGATCAGACACCATACAATGAAAACGTCACGTGAGTATAGAGTTAGATATAGGAATCCTGGGTCCTGGATCATGCCAGGAATTCAGGATGTTCCAACAATAACTTATGAAATTAAATAGCTCCCGCTTGTGTGAACTGTTGGGCAAGGGGATAATGATTTATTAACTTATTAAATTATCACAAGATCTTTATGAGATCCACAGTATTATATTATATTTTATGAAGATGAGGAAATTGAGTCTGGAGACTGTAGATGTTTCACATAAGATTACCCAACAATAGTCCCCAAACCTAGGTGGCTTCTGCTTTGTTTTAATATATTTATATCTTTATAATAATAATTCATGGTGATTAAAAGACTAATTGTAAAGACTGAATATTTCTCATAAGGCAAAAATCTCAAAATCAAATGCTCACATGATAGCTTATATTTAAGTCATTTTATAAAAGCACTTAAATACTTTAGTATATCACCACCTTTAGTTCTCATATTTGTGTGAAATATATAGTGATTTACTCTAGTTCTGATTTTTAGAAAGAAAATTTGAAAAATCAAAGAAATTAAATTACTTGTCCAAAACAAGAAGGATAAATGGAAGGTCCAGACATCTTAACTAGTTCTTCAGACTCCAGAGTCATTCCATTAAAAAGGGAAATAAAAATATGGCTACAGTTAAAGACATATTACAGTGATGCATGCACACCCGTGTTTATAGTAGCACTGTTCATGACAGCTAGGTTTTGGAAGCAGCCTATATGTTTATCAACAGGTAAAGAAGATGTGGTATTTACACATAATGGAATATACTCTGAGTTATAGAAAATTCAAGTTGAGTCATTTGTAGGAAATGGATGCACCTTTAGACCATAATGTTAAGTGAAACAAATCAGACACACAAGTTTAAATATTGCATGGTTTCTCTTACATGAAAAATCCAAATTATAAATAAAGAATAACAGGTAGCTAATAGGAAGCAGGGAGACAGATCTTTGTCACATGAGAAGGGGAACAAGAGATCAGGAGAGGGAAAGCTAGAGAAGAGACAAGGGATAGAAAAGGAATCAAGATGTGTTATATGCATGTACTAATTTCACACAAGGGATATAACATCATGTACTGCAAACGTACTAATAAAAATATGGCTACATGGGGTAAGAGTAAAATCCTTTCAGCATATGTGCAGGCCCTGTAATTTGACAGTCCCCTGCGAACAAGACCTAGTAATAAGCAGATGGAGGAGAGCCTCTGGGACATCTGCTGGGGACATTTAATTCAATAAAGTGTGAGAATTTTGAGTGAAGTGGGCACAGTTTTCAAGGGAAATGCCAGAGATGTAGGAGGAAGAGAAGCTGAGTAAGAAGTGAGCCAGGGCTGATTTGGTTGTATCTCACCCTGACTTCCACAAAATTCATTGGCAGTTCCCCTGCATCTCTTTCTGTAGCTAATGTTTTAGCTTATTTTTCAAAGTATTGTTTTCAAAGTATTGTTGGAAGAAATACTGTCATCCTTTTCCTCTTTTTCAGGTTCTGGCATCCAAATGAGCCCAATAACAAAAATGAACGTTGTGTCACAATAGATTATCGTCTTCAGTGGGGTTGGAATGATTTATTTTGTGATAGAACTGAAAAGTCAGTTTGTGAGATGATGAAGATCTACCTGTGAATCAAACATTCTCATGGTACGAGTGGTTGGACTGACATCCGTCATTATAGAGACAGTTATAAGATCTCTATGTGAAGGGATAGCCTTAGACTCTTAGGCACATGAGCTACTATTCCTATTTTGAGAAAAGTTTTCACACATTTACCTGTTTACTCCTTCCATTGCTCATCATGGAGTGAGCACTTACTGAGCATTTTCCATGTGGCAAGGACTACACTGGAGACCCCTTTTGTGTACACCTAGAAACCACATGAGCCCTTTTCCTAATTTCTGTCTGAATGCTGAAGGTTTATTTACTAATACAATTACATGATATAGTTCCTCATGTTTTTCTCACTTTTCCCCCTGTTTTTATTGTCTTTATTGGCTTACAATTGACAAATAAAATTGCATGTATTTAAGCTACAATGTGTGGGTTTAATATGCATATACTGTGAAATGCCTACCATAATCAAGGTAGCTAACACATCCATTACCTAACATAGTTGTGTGTGTGTGTGTGTGTGTGTGTGTGTGTGTGTGTGTGTAGTAAGAACATTTAAGATCTTTCTAAAGCCTGTTTCGATTGTGCAAACTGGGAGGCACTCTGGGAGGCTGAGGCAAGAAGATCGCAAGTTCAAGCCCACCCTGGGAAATTGAGCAACTTAGCAAGACCCTGTCTCAAAATAAAAAAGGAAAAAGGGGTCAGTATGATGCCTTGGGTTCAATCTCCAATAATGCAAAACAAAAAGAAAAACTTCCTGAGTACATTTCAAGCATATAATCTAGTGTTGTTAGACATAGTCACCATTCTGTACAGTGAATACACAGACATTATTTATGTATTAACTGAAAGTTTCTACCCTTTAACTAGTGCATCCCCATTTCCCTACCCTCAGCTTCTTGCAAGCACCATTTTACTGTTCCTCCAGTACTGACTTGATAAGTCCATATATGTGTGATCATGCAGTATTTATTATGGCCTGTTTGACTTACTTCCTCTAGACTAATGGTCTCCAGATTTGTCCATGTGGTTGCAAATGAAAAGGCGTCTTTTTAATATTAAAATAACATGCCAATGTGAATGTACATAAATATATATGGTAGATTTTCTTCATCTGTCCATCTATTGACAGTTAGATTGCTTCTATGTCTCACAATTGTGAATAATGTTGCAAAAAGCATGGGAGTGCAGATGACTGTAGTTACTGATTTTATTTATTTGCTTGTTTGTTTGTTTATGGAATATATTCCCAGAACTTAATTTCTAGATCATGTAGTAATTCTATTTTCAGCTTTTTTTTTTTTTTTTGCAGACTCTCCCTACTCTGTTAAATAATGGCTGTGCTAATTTACTCCTCAGGAACAAGGTAGAAGAGTTTCCTTTCATTCACATTCTTGCTGACATATCAGCTATGTTGTTTGGTGATGATCATCAAGTCAGAAGTGAGATGATCTTTCACTGTGTTTGCTATGCTTTGCTCCCCAAGGGTGCATGTGTTGTAGAGGTCGCTTCTGGTTTGGTGGTGGCTCTGTAAGAGGTGGGGTGTATTTGCGGACTGTTAAAACATGGAGTGCTCTGCTTTGGAAAGGGTTAGGGTAGTATTCCTGAACTTCTTAGCAGGACTCTGCCTTATTCAATTCCCTTTATCCATGTTTTATAGATTTCAGTGTAGAGATCTTTCACTTCTTTGATGAAATTTATTCCCAAGCATTTTATTCTGTTTGATACTTTAAAAAATGGCACATAATTTCTTATTTAAGATAATTTGTTAGTATATAGAAATAGAATTGGCTTCTATATGTTTGTTTTGTATCCTAGGGAACTTATTAGGTCTAACAGTGTGTGTGTGTGTGTGTGTGTGTGTGTGTGTGTGTGTGTGTTAGTCCTTAGAGTTTTCTCCATATAAGATTATATTATCTTCTGAGCTAATTCTTCTTTTAATTTTGGAGATTTTGTTTTCTTTTTCTTGTCTAATTTCTCTGGCTAAACCTTCTAGTATTTGCCGATTTCTACTGGTCTATTGAAAGGAACAATTAATGCTTAAATTTTTTTCTTCTTTTTAATTTGTTTTGATCACTTGCATGCTTATATCTGGTAATCTGACCAGCTAATTTGAAGATGACAATATGCAATATAACAAACATTGCTGAATTCTTATCATTTTGTTTAATGAAATTCTGTACCATTTCTAATGTTTTGTATACTTTATTCTCTTTAAAAAATTAAAAAGAAAACTTCTAGTACTATGTTTGATATACAGTGGAGATGGCATCTTTGATTTGTGACTGATCTTAATGGATTTTAATTTTCACTATTGAGTATCATGTTAACTGTGAGCTACTCATATTTGCAGTTGGCACATATTCCTTCTAGATCTGTTTTGTTGCATGTTTTATCATGTATGTATGCAAGTGAAACTTTGTCAAATGATTTCTCTCATCTGTTAAGCAGATCATAGGATTATTAACTCTCAGTCTACTAATGTGATTTTTTTATATGGATTGACTTGCACATAGGATGCATTGTTGCATCTCAGGGTCAAGTCCCCCTCGACCACCATGTGTATTCTATTTCATATGCTTTTGAATAAGTTATTAGTATTTTGTTGTGGACTTTTGAATCCACATTCGTGAGGGATAGTGATCTCTAACTTTTTTCCTTCAGTATCCTCGCCTAACAGTGTTTTTGTAATGCTGGTCTTGTAAAGTGTGTTTGGAAGTGTTCCTCCTGTTAAATGCTTTGAAAGGTTTGAGAAGGAATGCTGTAGATTCTTTCTAAACTTTATTTTAGATTATCAGGGAAGTCATCTTTTTTTGGCCTTTCTTTTTTTGGTAGTTTTTGGTAATTTTTAAAAACTGCTTCTATCTCTTCATGGCTCAATCTAAGTAGGAAGTAGGTTTATAAGAATTTTATCAATTCTTATGTTTAAAAGAAATTCTTGTGTTATAAGAATTATTGTGTTTGTAAAAAAATTATCAATTTCTTTGTATTATTCAATTTGTTAGTATATAATTATTCATAATATTCTTTTTGTTTTGTTTTTGTTTTTTTCCAGTACTGGGGATTGAACTCATGACCTTGCACTTGCCAGGCAGGCACTGTGCCACTGAGCTAAATCCCCAGCCCCCATAATATTCTTTTGTGGATTTTAAAAAAATATTTTCTGGAATTAGTTGTAATAGTCTCCTCTTTTATTTATATTTAAATGGCTCTTCCTCACTTTTCCTTTGTTAGTGTAGTTAAGGATTTCTTAATTTTTTTGCAAGCACCAGCTAATAATTTTATATTTTTTCTGTTTCTCTAATATCTCATTTATTTCTACTCTAATTTTTATTTTCTTCATTCTGTTATCTTTTGACTTAGCTTATTCTTTTTCTGATTTGTTTTAGTGTAAACTTATGGCATTTATTTAAGATAAATGTAGGTTTTTCTACTCCTAAATGTTATTTTTTATTGGTATAAATAATTACATTCATTGTGGGAAAGTGGTGCATATATATTGTATCTTGATCATTTTTAATACACTTTCTGCCCTCTTCCCCATTTCCAAGATGTTTTTCTCTCTGTTTCCTGAATTTCATTTCGTTTTTCCTGCTAGCTCCTAAGACTTGTTTTAGGGATTTTTTGTGTTTAGTTTCAATATGTTATTTATTTCCCTTCTGATTTCTTTTACTACTAACTGGAGGACATTATTAAATTTTCACTTATTTACAAGTTTTACAATTTTCTCCTGTTGATTTTTATTTTTGTACCACTGTGGTCAGAAAAAGTACTTGATATGATGTTATTCTTCTTTTGAATGTGTTAAACGTGAATTTGTGGCAATGTATGATCTATCATGGAGAATATTCCATGTGTACATGAGAATTATTTCTATTCTATTGTGGTTGGATGGAATGTTCTGTAGGTATCTGCTGGGTTCATTTCCTCTACAGCATTTTGAAATGTATTGTTTCCTTACTGATTTTCTGCTTCCATTATCTATCCATTTTGGGGTATATTAAAGTTTTCTACTACTGGTGCTTAATGGTTTATTTCTTCTTTTTGTTATGTTAATATATGCTTTGTGTATTTAAGAAATTTGTTGGGTACGTATTATTTACAATCTTCTGGCTAACTGACCTTTCTATCTTTATACATAATTTCTTTTTACAGTTTTTGAAACAAAGTCTATTTTGTGTGTGGAATGAGTTCAGCCACACCTGCTCTCTTTTGCCTGCCATTTGCACAAAATGTTTTTCCCTATCACTTCAGTTTCAGCTCATGATTGTCTTTAGAGCTAAAGGGAGTCTGTTGTTGACTGGAAATACTTCTCTCTCATTTTTGATATTGTTCTCTTATCCTGTGTTTTGACAGGTGAGTTGAATTTCTTTTTTTTTTTTGGAATTTCTTTACATAAAATGAAATCATTAGTATGTAAAGACTCATGATTGCCATTTTGATGTTTTCCAACTATTTGTAGTTCCTTTGTTTTTCTCTTGCTGCCCTCCCATGTGATCTGATGACTTTTTGTGGATATGTGCTTTGAGTTTTTCCATTTTGCTTTTGTTTGTATGTTTTTCTTTCTAAATTAAAAAAAAATTAATTTTACTGGTACATTTTAGATGTACATAATGATCACATTCATCATAGAGAATTTGTACCTGTACATGATGCAACTTGATTCTTTTTTCCCCATTCCCCTCCCCTCCCTTCAACCCTTCTTCCTCTCCTTATTTACAAAAGCTTTGTTTCCATTTTTCTCCTTTTTCTTTCCCTTCCTTCCTTTCCCTCTCCCCTTCCCTTGTTCCACTTCCCATTGGAGCAATGTCTTCCTGTTTTCCAACATCTGTTATACATTTTGGTCCTTACCTAACCTTTCAGTTTCTCATACTAGAGAAACAATGTAATATTTAAACTTGTGTGCCCAATTTATTTTATTTATGAATATTTTCTCGGGGCTGGGGATTTAGCTCAGCGGCAAAAGCGCCTGCCTGGCAAGCACAAGGTCGTGAGTTCGGTTCCCAGTACCAGAGAAAAACCAAAAAAACCAAAAAAAAAAACCCCAAAAATGAATATTGTCTCAAGGTGCATCTATTTACTAGAAATATCTCAAATTCATCCTTCTTTATGGCAGAATAGTACTCCATTGTATAAAAAACCACACATCTTCTTTATCCATTCATTGGTTGATGGGCATTTGGGCTGTCTCCAAGATTTAGCTATTACAAATTTTGCCACTATAAACATGAGTGTGCATGTATCATGATGGTATGCTGCTTTTAATTCTTTCAGGATGATACAAAGAAGAGGAAGAGCTGGGTCAAATGGATCCTCTAGTTTTAGAGTTTTGAGAAATCTCCACATTGATTTCCACAGTGGTTGTACCAGTCTACACTTCCACCAACAGTGAGGGAATGGTTCCTTTCTCCTC